CAAGCACTCGTTTATCAAAGGATTCCACAATCTAATACCTCTGTTCAATCTACCACCGTCCAATAGACCCCTATCACCTAATCTATGAGGGTCTTCAGAATTTCTCAAACCAATATTCCACTCCTACATAGTTGGTAACTTCCCGCACTATATCCTAAAGCGTAGTGAAGTGGAACCATTCTACTAATTTTTCATTTGGAGTAAATCAAATGCAATTATGAAAGTTAAATTTACTATGAACTAAGTTTAACGGAACGGAAAGAAGGAGAAGAGATTGCAGAACGCATCTGTAATCTGTTGTACACATTATCTTTTGGCAATTTGCCTCCTTAAAGTACACCAGAAGGAATAAGCATACTTCTTAAAAATGAAAAAAATCGCTTTATGATATGCTTAACTTAATGAATCTCCTCTAAATTAGGCTTTAAATTGATTCGAGTGCTCCAGTTGACTAAAAATAGGCCATGTACTGCGGTTTCTTCGGAAGAACGAATGATCGATATTGAGAGCCATTGAGACTTCCATCACTCCTCAGTAATTATGAATTAACAGTACTAACGTCACTTTAAGAGCAACCTTAGAGCCGAAGTTTATGAGCTCATGTTCTCATGCTCTGCATTTACCAATTTTTACTTAAATCTGTTGATTTTCGAATGTGCAAATAATTTAATGCTCTCAATTCAAAAGCGATACCTTCCATTCTCGAACCAATTGTATTCCTTCGACATCTCTATCCTCTTTCATAAACTTTAATAGGAAATAATTTGAATATATCATGACTAATTTTACTACTAATAATAAATGCATAACTAATACGCACACTTATTTGCTTATCTAATTCAGTATCACTTACGATAACGATTTTAACGACTTCAAGGTCACATGATCGACATTTGTACTCAACAGCCATCTCGCGATATATCGCATTCTCCCACATGTGGGTATGATCAGCACAGAGAGCAGTCCATTGGGTCGACTGATCCAAATCAGTGTGGTCAAAGTACCAGCATTTGGATATGTAGGAGGATCTGCCGGCTTCTTCCCAATGGTTACATCTTTCTGCCAAATCATACCACTCCGTGGATACCTGTGGAACGAAAGGAAAAAAATAAGAGTAAGTAGTGTGTATAGCAGTACAAGAGAGGAGGTGGAACTGAAAAACTCACAATTGTTGCGCACTTGCGAAAATGCATCGAAGCTGAGTAGGTCGAGGTATTTGATGATCACACACTGAAGCATTTCTACTAGGAGCATAACAGGATTCATCCCATCATTTGAAGGCGCATTTTTTAGAGTAAAGATGAGTCTTTTCATTTCCCTGTTGCCTGCACTTATTCTGATTGTTCCGCATTCTCCTCTTTTCGGTTGGTTTTGAACAATTTCATCCACTAAGCCATCATTAACATTGTTAAAAGACATCAAAGGCAAAGAGGTGCGTGCACTTAAATTTATTCTTGTTTCGTTGTCAATGCGATTACTAAAAATAATTTTAAAATTCAAATTTGATCCATATTGAGGAATGTTTAACATCATTAACAAAATCTGGTTCAACTGAAATTTCCTATATTTTAATTCACGCGCAAAGTGTCTACAAGCAAATTGACTGGCAGCCTAGAAATTGGTACAATGCAAACGTTTCAAGTCAATCAAGGGAAAACGAGTTGAGTTGAATTGCAGAAAGAATGTGAAACTTCGCAATTGGAACAATTGGAATGTGCGTCTAAACAGCTCGATGGAAAGCGACAATATGAAAATGGACAATACTATGAATTACTTGTCCAGACTTTTCAATGCGTCGCTCAGTTGAAACATCTCTGTCTGATTCAGTCAATCGTCTGTATTCAATCAGTTTTTGTGTTCTCGGTGGCTTTGAAGGCTAACAGCACCACCGTCACTATCACCATTGTAGTGTGCATAGTTCAATATCAATGTAATTTAAAGTGTATTAATAGTTAAAATGATCCATTTATCTAGTTCTAAAAGCCTATCGCATTTTCGTTCAAACACCAACGACACGCTCTCACCTGACCTTATTTCGAATTAAGCGAACTAGCATAGTATTTCCTGGGAAGCTGCCTCTAAGTCACACATAACGCCAGAACTTGGCAACTACATATTGGAAGAAATAGGTACTTTCCAAGATACTCACGACAACACACATTGCTCCTCTTAAACTTTGAATCAGAGCTACTAAGACAGGTACAAATAGAAATTACACAAAGAATCTATTAAACTGTGAGGTATTTACTTGCAAGCTGTTTTCTTTCAGATTTCATTATATTGCCGTAAATTGAAATTTATCTCGTACTGAAATATACTTAGTAACATGATGAGAATAATTTATGCCCTGATACATCCACAGAATTGTAGCAAAATGGGGTGATAATTTCGCTTGGTATCTAAGTCCTGTGAAAATGGTACTCTATTTTCTTTCATGCCTGCCCTCATTCTTGAGAATGAAATCAAATGATTTGTCATAATATCTATTAGAGTTTATTTAATTACTGGAATCACGATAGGTGTGAATTTCATTAACGAATGATGCACATTTCTAACTTAACGACACGTCCTTCAACTTTGCTAACGAGCATGTGTGTCAAGTTGGAAGCACTTCATTGCAGGCGCGCACACTAGGCTTAAGGTGCTGCCCTGGATGCATTTACACAACGACTGGATGACCTCACTGAGCAGTTGAAAGAAATGAAGACGCTTTTGACAGCCTCTGCTTCACGTGCCAAAGGACGGCGTCCTGTTTCATCTAGAGGGCGTCGGAGGCCATCTGAGCATGACAACACCATATGTTACTACCATCGAACCTTTGGGGACAGAGCCAGGAGATGTAAGCCTGGATGCTCATACGTGAAGACCAAAGCACGTCGCCCCTCGGGAAAATTCCACTCCAGGCAGTAAAGGCGACGACTGATTCTGGCAGCTATCCTAGTCGCCTGCTATACATTTTAGACAAGAACTCCGAACTCACATTCTTGGTGGACACAGGTTGCGAAGTCAGTGCTATCCCACGGTCTAAAAATCGCTATACTCAAGCCACCAGGACCTCCCTCGTAGCAGCAAATAATACCGAAATACAGGTCTATGGACAAAAGTTCCTTAATCTGGACCTAGGCCTCTGTCAAGAGTTCCCGTTTACCTTCTATATCGCGGACGTCCAACAGCCCATCATTGGTACCGATTTCCTCTCAAGATTCCAGTTATTAGTCGATCTCAAAGACAACGCTCTACTGCACAATCTTGCATTCATGCGTGTGACCGACTCGAAACGGTCCTTACGTTTGGTAGGTTTGAACGGCCTCTTCCCGGTAGACATAGTGTCCAACATCATCTTACTACAAAAGGGCAACCTGTTTTAGCTAGAGCACGAAGCCAACATTTTCTCCATTAATTTTGGTTCCAGAAGTACAAGCAATTTTTATCCTGTCGCCGATAATTTAATTGCCAATACTTGAAAGACATTTGCACCTTTAGATTGTACGCGCAGATAGTACCTGATTTTGGGAACTTTTGGACTTCATTAAATTCATCTTAAAATATTCAAACTGTCCATCTTTTGAGAAAATGAGTTGACCGCAAATGTTAGAAATGAGCAATTTCAAATTCACCTTCCTTAATTGGCATAGTGAAGACACACCAGTGCCATGAAACCGCTAGTTTTATTTCCAAGCTACGCAACGCCTATGGTATCGCATTCCATTTGCGCAGGAAACTTTTAAATGAAAAAATACCAGTAAGCAGTCTTAATCTTATTTTAGTTTACTCATTAACTCACTGCAAGTATCTTAACATTTTATTTATTTATCTCGAAATTGCAGGCGTTTTGACAATTATCATTAGCCCTATATCTGACTTCGGGCTTTACAAAGTGGGGAAATTTGAAAGTGTTGAAAATTCAAGAGAGGGCATAGAAAAGTGATTGACAGAAATAAAAGAGAGAGAGATAGACAGGCAGACACAAAGATAGAAAAGGTAAGTTGAGTACTGTGAAGTGTTATAATTTGACATAATAACGGGTCAGAGTAAATAGAAGTCAGAAGTCAAACCAGCGGTTGTTAGACTTGTTTGCCGTACAAGTATACGTTGCCCAGGGTGCACCACGTGGAGTCAAGTCTATCCAACACTCCCGTATTTTTATATAAGACATGACATCTCTCGCCGCTCTTTCACTGTCTTGACATGGTTCTAACCAACTGTCTGGCATATATTATATATCAATGGGCAGCATAAACACTGTAAAAATGTGCCGCTTACCTCCACTTGTACTGTAGAATGCCAAGAGGTACGTAATACACTTAATTTTAAAGCGCTCTTATCTAACCCTTAATATTTCTAAATGCCAAGTATAGCGTACCTACCTCGTCGCTTTAATTAGGGTTAACTTATAAGTTAAAACAGCTTAAATGCAAAAATCTTCTTAATTTATTTCATTTAAGTCCTAATGCCAAATCACAAACGCTCAAATATTTTGTTAAATGCAATCCAGGGAGATTACCTGGATAACCCTCAATAATCCTATAGTTGAAATTTCATCTGACACCAAAATCACACTTCCAATACTAACATCCATTTGAAAGGATCTAAAAGGGTAAAATTCATTAAATTCGCCAGAATTAATAACCTTTTTTGAAGCAAACACACTCGTTTGCACTTAGGTTGTGCATATACACGTTATCACGTTTGAAGAAGATGATCTGATTTGACTTAAAGTCAACTATGACTTCATCGCCGTAAAAAGCACTTGATTTCTCGAGTTCGCGATTATGAGATTCATCCTCCAAGTCGAAAATATTAATTCTTGAATGATTGATAGACACGAACCATTTACTGTTTAGCTCAAATCGTTTTGCAAAAAATTCTATTTTCAAAACGGAACAAATATCAAAATTGCCAGATTTATCAATTCGCATGGAAACTATATTACCACCCATATCTGCGGCTACTACGTAATCCTTTTAGAAGGCTATGGCAGTAATCCAAAACATTGGCCTCTAATGCCAACGTTTCGCTACTGGTGTTCGGTCTAAAAGGAAATAATTGAGTTCTTTTGACTTACCATCAAAGACCTGCAAGCACTCGCCTGTCAAAGCATTCCACAATCGAATACTTCCGTCCACACTGCCACTCACGAATAGACCACTATCATCGTGCCTGTGAGGGTCAACAGAATTTCTCGAAACACCAATGCATGTTATTCGTGACTTGTGGAGAGTCAGATTGCGAAACCACTTGAAACCATTTTCCGTTCCCAGTATTAGCAGGTGAGGTTTATTTGTAAAATGCATTATGGCCAATTTGGTTATCATCGGTGCAGGTACTAGCCATATGCCTGTTTCTTCACGGAGTCGAGGCAGGTCCACAAAGCAAAGCAAACCGCTTACAAGAGTCATAAACACCTCTTCTCCGTATGTAAGCACAGAATTCACAGGCATGTAGTTGACACTCCTCCAATTTCTCTAAAGCATATTGAAATGGAAACACTCTCCATAATTTTCATTTAAAAGTTTGCAAATGGAGGTATAAAAGTGAAGTCTACTAGGAAATAAGTTCAAGGGAACAAAAAGAAGGTGTCCAGGCGGTTAGTTTGGTAAATTTTCATAATCGGTAAGCAAAGTGTACTCCAAATGACGAGTCCACGTGAACAGTCTCTACGATTCAATTTTCGTACTCTGTTCCAGTGATTAGATTGCAGTCCGTATTCTAACTGCCAATTTGTTCTTCTTGGGGTTAAGAATGTGGAGTAAGCTTAAAAGAGAAGAGATTGCAGAACACAGCCTGTAATCTGTAGTGCATATTTTCGTTTTGACTATTTGTCTGCCTAAAGTTCAACTAGAACTGTTAACTTTACTTCTTAAAAATAGAGATGTCTCATTATCAGATGCATGATTTAGTGAATCTCTTCTCATAAATAAGAATGAAACCATTTAACGTTCCCAGTATTTGCAGGTGAGGTTTATTAGTAAAATGCATTATGGCCAATTTGGTTATTATCGGTGCAGGTTCTAGCCATATGCCTATTTCTTCACGGAGTCGAGTCAAGTCCATAATGTAAACTTGACCGTTTGAATGAGTCTTAAACACCTCTTCTCCGTATGTTAGCACAGACACCACATGTATGTAGTTGGCATCCGACCGCATTCTCTAAAGAATATTGAAATGGGAACATTCTTCATAAATTTCATTCGGAAGAGAGCAAAAGAAGGTACAAAAGTGGAGTCTACTAGAAACTAATTGGACTAATTAACTGGTCA